TTTTAAATCCGATAATATATTACAATTTAAAATAAAAAATAGAGGATTTGCGGTGTATTTATCAATGAGATCCTTACGTATTTTAATAATTTTGAAATCTTTAAATAACCTCAATCGATTGGTTATTCCAATGAAATTAATCGATTGATGCTCAATTCTGGACCATACAGCTTTCATTCTGTTAAAAAATAATAAAATTTATGTAATTTTATTTTCTGTCACACTTCCTCTTGTGTTAATTTCTGAATCTGTTGATAACGTTGCGAGTGACACGAAAATGGTAATGGGGTCCCGGGACCCCAGAAACTCGGGCCGAAAAATTACATTAGGTGAAAGGTCTATTCATATACCTCGTCTGTGGTCTCAAGTCTGTTAGGGGTTGCCTTTACCAACGACTGTTATCAACGTCGATGTTTCAGTACGTGTAATGAATTATGGAACGTAATAATAAGTTGCTGGCCTGAATAGGTCCCCGATGCGTGGACCCGGTTCGAGATTCCAAGCGGAATTGTTCTCGAAGTACCCCGCGTTACATTCGCCGTGGATAGCCACGGCGACATAATCCGTGTCAGAGAAACAATGATTCCCGAACGAGGCGGAGGCGAGAGCGGCGGGGTTCGATGAATATTATATCTGGCATCTCTGGGCAAAGGCAATTCGTGCCGGCGTAAATGAAAAAGGTCGGGTAGAAGCTCGTTTAATCGCACGACAGCGTGCGGGGCGAGCCGACTCGGTTAAATCGTAAATAACTGCGTCGATCTTGCGCGCTACCGGCGCTCGATTATTATTCCACGCTCGTTAAAGGTTATTACGTGCACGTACGTACGTACGTGCCGTACGCGCGAAACCCATTATCGGGGGGAGGGGGGCCCCGGCGGTGCTTATCGGCGGCCCCGCGAATTCGCACGGGGCTCGCGTGACTCCTCGAAGCCGCTAATAAAGACAAAGTTTGCCGATTCGATAAATTACACCCGCCCCCTCTGGGCTCTTATCGTCCCCCGGTATCTGACGGCGGAATGGGTGGACGCCCGGGCAATTGAATGTTACCGGTTAAACGGCCGCCCCGCGTTTCAATGGGAACAAATTAATGCATTCAAGCCAGCGCGAGCATGAGCGAAAAATTTGCCGCGATAGTATAATTAGATTAGAATTAGCGCGGGGCCCCGATAAAGACGTTTGCGCGGCGCGAGCGTGCGGGTTCACCGAACGCCATTGGAAACGGGAAAGTCTCGACGCTCGTTGTAAATAACCGATCGAGAAACTGGACGCTAAATGGGTTAACGGATTGGAACAATTCGCGGCTGCGTCTAACAGGTACACGCGGAAAAAAGAAACTGGACGAGAGAGAGACACCGCGTCGATGGAGGCGGAGTTTATCGAGGTGTGCACGGTGACAGGATCTGGTAAATCGTAGCTGAAAGGAACTCGTTCATTCTGATCGAAAACGTATGATGTTTGGGTTTTTGAAGATTGGGTTTGACCAATGGATGGTTTAGAAAGAGTTGTATTTTGAAAAGCAAATTGCTGTGCACTTGGATTTCGTGAGTTTGGAGCACGATATAGCGAGTTCATTGTGCTCGAAAACGTATGATGTTTCGGATTTGTAAGACTGGGTTTGACCAATGAATGGTTCAAAGGGATTTGTATTTTGAAAAGCAAATTGCTGTGCACTTGGATTTCGAGAGTTTGGAGCACGATATAGCGAGATAGTAAGTTTCTATAGATAGTGTGGAAAGAAAGGTTTGACTCAGTTTAAATGTGTCTATTTATCATGGTGGTTAGGATGTATGAAATGGATGTTTTCCCCTGAGAGGTAGGCGTTTAGGGGATGGGGATAGTCGGTGCGCTAAGTCGATACAGCGATTTCTCGAGGCGTATAGCTCACGGCGACGGGGACGCTAAATTCGCTCGGTGGTAACGGCGAAAAAGCAGCCAACCTCCCTCGGCTTTCGTGCGATTTAAGGCACGAAACGGCGGCCGGTGAGCCGCCAACGTTGGATCCGCAGAGTTATGGTAATGGCGGACGTGGATTACACAAGATCGCCGTGCACGATTAAGGCTTCCGTCACACAAACAAGCTACCCGCCGCCACTTTCCGCTTAAATCCGGCCCGTTCTCCGGATTCGAACAATCGTCTATTGACCGATAAATCGGAATTAAAGATGCAACCGATCCGCTGCTGCAACCAGCTACCGACCGAGGGGTAATTTTTGCGCGTCCCTAGTGTTCCACGGGCTCGAGACCGTTCCAGAGAAAAATTGGTTCTTTCGAGTGGCCATTGCGGATGAGAGATACTAAGTCGGGCTGTAAATTTTAACTTGGAATGGAAAATATAACAGAAACTCTTGGAAATCGTCCAGCAGTAAATTGAGCAATCGTAACGGTCTAACGATAACAACGTTTTGCAACGATTTTTGGAAATTTATTACCCGGTGAAGAAATGTCACGAAACCTAATGATCGACCGCCACTTTAATTCGATGGGACCGCGGAGTACGAACCTTGTTGCAAGAAACCAGACACGCAACATTCAGGGAATACCTTCGCCATATAAGAACGACCGTTCTATCTGGAAAGTTACAAGGCAATTCAAAGTGGCACAGTAAACGCTTCCGCCATCGCACAAAGACTCGGAGGATTCGAAGAACACGCGAAACAACAAATACGCTCGACAATGGATGCACGTTGAACATTTACTTTTGCGTGTCTTTGCGAACGCAAAGTTGCAAAACTCAATCAACGAACGCTAAACCGATGGAATCGCGGAGTCGTTGCAAGAAACCAGAATTCCTACATTCGACGGATACTTCAGCCATGTAAGGGAGGAATGTGTCGATCGGGAAAGCCATAAGGAAATTCAAAGGACCACGCTAAATACTTCCGCCGTTGCGTAACGTCCCCGGCGATGGATTTAGAATTTTAATTTCGATCAGCCTTTCGCGGTTGAATACAAACCCGAATACAGAAATAAACGAATTCTAGATTTTGCCTAGCAAATTGGTATATGAATAACGACGAGGTGCGCGATGATTATGCGATTATATCCGTGACAGAAGAGATTGGACGTCTATGTGGCAGATACGGAACAAGATTAGAAAATCACCCTAACGACCTAACCGAGAAGTTATATGCAGCAAATTCACCTAGAAGACCGCGCAGAAAACATCTAACGACCTTCTTCCCTAACAACTACCGTACGTATGCTTACTAACGAGGAAGCATCTACGTGATATAATAACACAATGCTGCTGATTCCATGGGGGCCCCTAACAGTTACGAGTTAAGAGTTGAAATTAAGAAAACAGGAACAACCTGTACGATAAAAATTATTCTCTCGTAATATCTCCGCCTATGATTAATCATCGATACTGGTTACGCGGGACCATTAAGAATAATAATCGTTGATAACGATTACTGTGTAACGATTAAACGTCCCGCAGCAGATTGATAATTGCACGTTCGCGACTCGTATCGAGAATAATGGGCTCAACGATCGTCTTGTGCGAGGGGTCAAAGTTCGTGGGACCCGGCGGCGAAATTGTCTATTAATTAGCTGGAGTTCGACCTTGACGAGACGGAAGCCACGGAAAGAGTACGACTTTAACGACGTCCCGCGATACGGGGTTATTGCGCGTGTAATCGCGAGGGACATGCTGCAAGAAGAGGAACGAAGACAGTCGAAGGAAGAACATGTTCGTCCATCCCGACGGGTTATGCATATGGAATCGACTAATCGAGCGCGGTGCATCGTTTGTGAGCCGCATCGAGTGACTTTATAATTTTACGACGTTCCTAGACCACACCGCCGCCGTCCACATCCGCCACCACCTCGTCCAAAAGACTTTTCCCCGTCTCCTGTGGGCCCAGTCCGCTACTCCCGTGCGATTCTCGCTTTATGACTACGGGTTGCCGGCGTAATATCCCACAGGCGATCCTAATCGGACGCGTAATAAAGGTCGTGCGGTAATTAACGCAAGGAATGAAATTAGTTTACCGGCGGTGGCTCTCGCGAATGAAACTGTGGGAGAAGGTATCCAGAAGGGAACGGGGCCCAGGCCAGATAAGCCACCAGTGAGAAAATCCCGGGGACCGACGTCGCGGAATAAAATTCCAAAGACCGAACCCGAAGAATTCGTTCCCGGAGCGTTTATTAAAACTTAACCCGCTCGCTCCTCCGTTGGAATTATTGCGCGGAATGGTCGACAGTTTATGCCCGGGTTCGTTTGTGGCAATATGAAATAGACAGCCATTGCTGTCGCGCGTGTGCGACGTCGGCTGTCACGATAATCGACGAGTCGTAAACGCGTGGCGCGTGGTAGCGTGTTTGAACGTTTCGTGTGTACGCTCGAGTCTTCCTCTGTACGATTAGCCTGTCTATTTGACGGGTTACATGTTTTATGAAAGGTAACAAAGTTATGAATATTGTTTTTTCAGGGACATTTTGAATTTGATCCACGTTTATTCAACGTTTATTTGCTGTTAGGAAAATTCCACGCGACTTTAACTCGGACAATTACGACTAATTACCAATCGTTCGAGATTTTTACGAAAGCACCGACCCACACGCCATTTATTTTCTAAGAATAATTTTATAGTTCTTAAACCTTGTTTATTTTTAGGTTCAATGAAAAGCTTGTATCGCGTGGGTATAAATCATACTAATGAGGATCTAAACGTACCCGGTCGTAACGTTTATGTTTCATAAACGAAACCAGTGTTTCTCAAAGTGCATAGAAATTGTCGATTATACGGGTCCTCTTCGATCTGTACGAATATATTTAACATTCGATCACTCCAACCCCGTATCTTATAATGTCGATTTATATCGACGAAACTGTCGCGTGTACTCAGAATCGTGGCTCATGAATAACGAATAAAATTCTTTCGAAACCCTCGCGTTTAGCAATGCAACGAGCCGCGGTCGTAAACGCGATTTTATTGGCGTGTTTTAATTGCAGAAATAGATGTCGCGTAAAAAAAGGGAGGAAGTCGAGTACTCACCCGGCCGTCGTAATGACACCTGTCAGGTTGTCAACCCTGAACAGCCAGCTCGTTTCCTCTGCGATGGCGTACGTGATCTTCCCGTTCACTCCCTGATCGGGATCCGTCGCTCTCACGGACATCACGCTGGAATCCGACGCCACGTCCTCCGATATCGTCGCCGCGTACTTGCTGGGATGATAATTCGTCGGGTAATTCGACGACGCGTACGAGAACCCGTTGGACAGACCGAAACTGGAGTATTCGCCGCCCTGGACCGGGTTACGGGGTCGCGACTCGGTGTACTGATTCTGTACGAACGTGGGGGCGTTGTCGTTCACGTCCAACACGATCACTGTTAGGTTGCAGCGAGCCTCCAAGCTGGGACGACCCTTGTCCTTCGCCGAGATCGTCAAAACGTACTTGGACACCACCTCTCGGTCCAGGTTCGACATCGACAGCATTCCGGTTATCGGCTCAAGGATGAACTTTGCACCGATATTCCCGCCTGAGTTCACCAGGTGTGACATTAAGATATTTAACAGTGGAATATTTATTTATTTATTTATGGGATTAATAATTACAAGGCGATGCCAAGTAAAGAATTGAATGGTTAAAAACATCGATTAAACCATGTGCAGTATTCGCGTGAGTGAACAAACGATTATAAGGGTTATAGAAATAATTCAGAACGGATTCATTCATCACGTTTTTGGAGAAGCTTCTTCCATTTATGACACGAATATAAAAAAAATATTCATATCGATCCTCGTATAATGCAATACTTTATACATACTATATAATTCATGCTAGTCGATATGATACAGTTGATGCAATTTATATCGTAATTCAGCAACTTTTTTGCCAATGTATTGTACGTACCCACGATACTGTAATAAATTTCCCCGTTCCTGCCTTCGTCGAGGTCCGCCGCGGCGATTGTGTGAATGACGGAAGTGGCCTGATTTTCCGGAACCGCCAAAGTATAGCAGGAGCCGGGCCTGAACTCGGGGCTGTTGTCGTTCTCGTCCATGACTAGAACCTCGAGCGTGCTGATGTCCAGCAGCTTGCTGGATCTCGCGAAAATCGGTACAGAGTAACGAGAAGTCTCCTCGCGGTTCAAGGGCCCGCGAAGGGTCACCAGACCGCTCGACGAAACGGTGAACTTGTCCGAGGCCACGTTCCCCGGGATGCTGAAGCTGATGTTGCCTGCACAATCGCATGGTAGCACTGCGTTTCACAAATTTTTATGTAACCTTTGGGACTTTGGGACAATCGAGTATCGTTAAAAATTGGATAACTCCGTTTATAAAGGGGGGAAATAACGATTTTCTTGGTACGTTGGATTTTCCAGCTAGTTACATTGTTAATAAATACTCTCTGGGTCTACGAAAGATCGAGAGCACGCGAAAGTGGATTCCTCGGAGCGGAGCAACCCCTTGTAACGCGTTTGATTTCGAAATTCCAGGGTCGGTGGTGGAATATTATTCGAAGGGCTCCGAACAAAGCTTCCTCCTCGTCTCTGTTGCAGTGCGTTGCACGGTCGTAGACGAGGCCCAGAAGAACGGTAGTTGCTGCGTCGGGACACGCACACGGCGTTGGCTCTTGTATAACGCGCGCTGCAGGGGTGTCGGTGTTGGTTGGAACCGGTGATTTGCCTATGCGTACCGCGGCAGGCTGGCGGCACGATGATATACGCGGCCATTGTTTCGCCTCTCTCGTCCACTCTCTTCTTCTCCCCTTTTCACGTGGCTGGTTCGCGGGTTCCGGAGCCCCTAGCAGGACGAGAGTCGTCCTTCGGGGTATTCCGTAGGGACGAGCGGGTCCCTTTGCCGCACGGTTCCGCGGGGCGCGCTAATGCGCTCGTCTGATACACGGGCGCCGGTCTAGATAAGCGCAAAACGAGCGATATACCGTGTTGTCGGCCGTACAGAACGCTTTGCTACGAGACCGAGAACACCGGACTTTCCGCGCGCGCTTTTAGTAATCATCCTGTTCGTCGCTCGTGTTCCCTATGCTTTACGACCACCGACCCGAGAATTGGACTCTCCCCGTTCCGGTTCGACCATTTTTCGAAATACGCGTCGCCAACTTAATGCGCTTCTTGCGATCGAGCAACTTTCACACTTCGGAGGTTTGGGACCATTTCTATTTAGATTTCTTATCATTTCGTTGGCTACTATCTATCTGTATGTCGTCAACCATTAGAAAGTTTTTATTATTGGCATTCATGTTATTTCTCGTTGAGTAAAATGTTTGGATTGTGGCCTTTGAAGGTAGTCGAGTTGAAAAAAGAAATATACTAAAATAATTTGTACCAAAGGACTCATCCGTTTTAGTGGAATATTCTTTCCTGTTAATAAAGTGTGTGTTCTAGTCGATAGTTAATCGTTAAATTAGTTAATAAAGGCTTGGTCGCCCGAGAGGACCTCAAAGAAAAATATGTCCTCGAAGCTAAGGAGGTTCGAGCCACATTTCCTCGACGATAGGTTTTTCAATTTCGAAGGTTAGAACTAAACGCGTTCTCGAGGTTTTCTTAACAATATCGAGAAATCGGGACGCGGATTCCCCCCTTCGGGGTCGATAAATTCCCGAAAACGGGCATTATTTCAGACCGTACCGATCGTAAAACCGCTTTAACGACGAACGGGCGACGACGTTTGGGGAAATAAAGGGTCCGTGGACGGAGAAGCGGAACGGATAACTCCGGAGCGCCGGACGATTATCGTTATCGCGCGCTGAAAGTAGAGCCCGATTATCCGTGCAGCCATGCGGCGACGGACGCATTCGCGATGGAATTTTCTCGTCCGCGGAATCCCCTCGGGCTTTTAGAGAGGGCGACGAGGAACAGCGTTCGCCAGGGCAGGAGGGGAGGGGCACAGCGTCCTCAGCAGGGTATTCCGCGAACGTTACACGCGGATGGAACGCGCTCTCGACCCCGAGGGAGTCGGGGCCCGCGAGTCATTTCGTTGAATTTACTATAATGCCCCCGCACCGGCCGGGGATTCAAGGCAATTATTCGAGGTATTTTCATAGCAGGGCTTTCCTATTAGCCAGGCCGGCACCGACGCCGATTATATTCCGTTCTCGCGAGCGTAGGTGGCTGGTGTCCGCGCGGAGTGCCGTGGCGCGACGCTGGCGACGTCGAAAATCGGTCGTGGAAGGGGTTGAATGGCGATGGGAAAAGAGGAGGGAACGGGCACGGAGCAAGATAGGAGAGTGTAATTTCAGTTTCTCGTCCGTTAGACCGCTAAATTGACAGCCCCTCCTGTTCCGTGGCACTTTATGCACCGACGCAACCACCGAAACAATAACGACGCGAGAGCGGAGCACCTAAAAGGGTAGCCGCTCGGTAGCCCCATTTTTGGTCCTCTCTTACGTCCTTGTCGTCCTTCGCCGGTGTAAGCTCGCCTGTACGTGTGCCGCGAGAGGAGGGGGGAGATCGATAAGTTCCCCGTAGTCGAGAGCTCGAGCTCGAGTTCGAGTTCGAGCTCGAGTTCGGCTTTGTCCCCTTTAGCAAGCGTTAACCGAATATACGCGGCTCTCTATCTGATCATCTCCCCAGCGAGCAGTGATATACGAGCATCGGCGGATATTTATCAATAAACTGACCGGTTGTAAATCCAACGGTTTTATCTCGCGTATTTAACGGGGGATAAAACGGAATCGGGAATCGGGGATCTTGACGATCCGCGGTCCGGGTCACCGATAACCCTTTGCCGTGGATCGCTCGGGAGGAAATGCTTACCCTGATCGGCGATGATAGGACCGGCGACGTTTAGAACCGGCGCGCCAACCTGCAGGTCCTCTGAAATCCTAGCTACCGGGTTGGACAGCAACAGCCGCGGAGGTCCGTTGGTCTGTCCAGAAGCCAACGTCAGAGTGAGCCTCAGAGTGGACTTTCGCGGTGGGGAACCGTGATCGTTCGCCGTAATCTCCAGTTCCGTGGACCTGACCATCGGCCTCTCCAGGCTCACTATGCCAGACTCGTAACCCACCGAGAATCTCGCCTCCTCGTTCGCCGATGTAATCACGTACGATACACGGCCATTGTCACCTGCGTCTTTATCCACCGCGACCACTCTCACGAGCGTCGCTCCTGCAACGATGCCAATTTACGATACGACTTTATAATTGAATTGCCCGTCCTCGCTTAATAAATTTATCGACTATTTACCGCGGACTGCCGTATCGTTAAAATTCTATGAAATTCCCACCTCCCCGCTCCTTTTGTCTCTTGCGCTATGCGACGACGTTCGCGCGAGCCACGTTACGCCATTACGCGATCGCGCGCGTAAAAATTCACCGATAAATCGCCCCCCGATTACGGCTATTTATTACAGGCATATAATCTGGTATTTTCCTTCTGGTATGCAATTAACCAATAATATACTGTACGTCCCCTTCCTCGTTCGAGCTTCGAATCTTAATTTTCACACAGTTTTACCAGAACACTTGGCTGATATTTATACCCTCCATTGTACGTTAGTGCATAGAATTTTAATTTAAATAATAATTTCACGATCGTTCTCTCGATCAAGATATTTAGAAAACGTATCCAACTTTATTCACACGTATTATTCAGAGTACGCGGAATAAAAAAAAAAATAAGTTTCGATCCAAGTTTTCCATATAGAATCGTGTAAGTACTCACCAGGTAGGAGATCGGGGGTGACAGCTACCCTGGTGGATTCGGGGGCGACGAAGACCGGATCGTTGTCATTTTGATCAAGGACGATGATCCTCGCGGTGACGGTGGAGGCCAATTGTTCGCCAGGTGGGGCTCGATCGGAGGCTTTCAGGATCAAGGTGTACTCTGCCCTGTCCTCCCTGTCGAGGGGCCTGGCCAACGTGAGGGCCCCCGTGAGGGAATCAACGGCGAAGCTGCCCCTGGACGGAAACTCGGCCACCAAACCGTATCGAAGGTCCCCGTTGGGCCCGCTGTCCAAGTCGCTGGCCGTCAGATTGAAAATGGTGGAGCCTATCACCGCCCTTTCGGACACGCGGACCGTTATCGGGTCCTGGGGCCAACGCGGAGGGTTGTCGTTGGCGTCCTCGATGACGATCTTCACCGAGACCGCGATGCTTTGAGGATTGCCGATCGACGTGGTGTCCAGCGCGCGTATCTCCAGGTGGTACTCGCTTACGTTCTCGCGATCGAGGGAATGGGCGACCACCAGCTGGCCCGAGCTACGGTCCACGTCGAACGCTGGAAACTCGCTGATGGGCGTCAGGGAATCCAGGGTGAAGGCCACGCGACCCGCGGGACCAGCCCCCGACACCGAGCCCACCGCCTGACCGATGCTCGCGTCCTCGCGCACCTAAACCGTTCATTTCTCTTTTAGCGGGATCGTAAACGCCGCGTTTCGATTGTAAAACACTTAAGAATAGTGGTTGGTTCACTAGTTGACACCCTCGAAGGAAGAGGATAGATGGAGGCTTTTTATTTAATCGGTACTCAGAATGGTGATAGAAGAATTTTATTCATTTTATGAACATGGGGTGGCAAAATTTTAGTTAACACACATGGATCACAGAGCTTCTCACTGAGAAATTGAAGTAGCTAGCTCCTCTATAGAGACTGTCTTTCATGAAATAATTATTCTCCATAGTCGAAAGGTGCAGAATAAAAAAAAGAAATAATAAATAAATTTTCTATTCGAGTGTAGGGAAACTCGAAGGGTTTAGAAAATCCCGAAGTTCACGAATGATTCCATTGAGAAGTGATTTCTTTGCAGAGGGGATCGAGACGTGTGTCTGGTGGAAGTTTGATTTTTCAGAAATGGTCTTCGACCGCTTTCATAACGAAGGACTCATATGGTACTCACGTTAAAGGTAAGACTGCTGCTGGTGAAGGTCGGCCGGTTGTCCGCAAGCGCTAAAACCTCGACTCTTAGCGCGCGCACGCTGTGTCGGGGTGGTCGTCCAGCGTCGGTGGCTTTAACGGACACCCGGTATACGTTTCGTTCCTCGTGATCGAGAACTGCTTTCGTTCTGATCATGCCGGTGATCGGGTCGATCGTGAAAACGTTGTAACCGTCCGAGTCTCGGTCTAGAGGATCAAGGTTGCTCGGTGAACAGCACGAAACGATCGGGCAGGAAATAAAAATTTCAAAGGAAATCGAGAACGTGCAACGTTCGACCTTTCGTATTCGACGTTCGATAAAATATTACGGGCATCCGAGCGTTTGTATCGGTTCTTGTTAATTTTCGGTGTTAAATGCAACAAGAAAGAAAAATCGAGGGGAAAGGAAATGGCAATATTACGGCTACTCAGCGTCATTAAGCATGTATCCGATCGACGCGGAGCTCCATAAAATTCGACAAAGCTCCGCTCGGTTTTTAAGACCGTGCATAATTGTTTCGGTGATTGGCTAATTAATTCCACGAAGCGTCGCGTTTCTTTTGCGAATTCCCGCGGATTTAGTTCGAACCGTAGAATTACCTTTCAAGATGGTGTAGGTTACAGAGGCGTTTTCGCCCAGGTCTGTGTCCAAGGCTCTGACCCTGGCCACTTCCGTTCCAGGTGGTTGTTCCTCCCTGACGCTGACCACGTCGTCCTGGGGGTCCACGATTTCGGGGGAATTGTCGTTCACGTCCAGCACCGTCACCTTCAGGGGCACCCTGGCCGCCCTGGCCGGTGTTCCTTGATCTCGAGCCTCCAGCACCAGCTCGTGCACGTTCTTCGTCTCGCGATCGAGGGGCTCTTTCGTGGTGATCTCGCCTGCAATGTCACGAATCACGGAAAATTAACTCCCGACGTAAAGAGGATCGTAAACTTTTTAGCTTCGTACTTTTCCTTGCATAAATCGATTCCTCGTACGCAACAACAAAAGGAGTACGACGAATCGCAAACGCGATATTCGGAAACACGATACCGATATGGTAGGAAGAATAGGTAACGTTAGAACATGACGCACAGTAATAACGTGAAATATCTCTTCGAGCATTGAGTTTTCGATTGCCTTGTTTGTACCTTTCGCGCGCTGAATGGCATCGATAAATCGATTCGAACGAAATCCTTATCCGAAAGCTTTGTTATTTATTGTTTCGCGTTGACCAAATCACAGCGTGTCCTCTTTTACTATTTTTTGGAAAAGCATCGAACGTGTTATTATTTCATCCAGGAGTGTACTTGAAATCGATATGGCGGGGCCGTGAAAAGTGATAGGAATTATCATAAATTTCCTCGCACAAAACGACGTACACGCCCCGGCCGACAAACGTGCATCGACTAGACCGACCTTATCAATTTCCCTGGACGTGGACGGTTAATTGGATAATCGTCGTTCGTGAGCTCTAAGAAACGCCGTTCGAACGCTCGAATTCCTCGGTCGCGCCTCGGACACCGCCTATCGTATTTCGTTTCTGTCCCCTTCCCGCGTATTATAATCGTAGCACCAGCGTACACGCGTGTGCGTGTAGAGAACCACGTACGCCAGCCGCGTAATTACACGTCTCGAAAAGTAAATGCTACAGTCGCGAGAACATCGCGAGGTTCGCCGAAGAAAAAGACCAAACCCTTACAGATTAACATTTTTAACAATAATTTCTGTAATGGGTAAAAGTGGAAAGTTCAGTTTCTTCGAAAAAAACTAGGTGTACTTGAACCGTGACGCAAGTGCAATCGAGAGAGTCGAGAATTTAGGTTCAAAAGAACTCAAAAACACTATATAAAATATTTCTTATTTCTATCGTTATTTTGCTTTGGCATTCCTTAGGTTATTGCACTATTTGCACTCACCCTCTTCTATTTAGAATCAATGCTTACATGTTCCTTTACCTATTCCTATTAAATTGCTTATAAGAACAGAGGTTGTTCAGAAGCAGGAAGGTTGGCGAGGAGGGAGGAAGAGCATATGATTAGGGGGGGCAAAAGTGAGCAGAAGGTAGGAGAGAGGAGGCTGGGTGGACCGGTCGGCGCATTAATGGGTAATTAAGCAAGGAGGCTAGCTCGGCTAGCAGAACTATTCCGAGACGTGGAAAAGGATCGGGATAATAATTCGTACGGCAGGTTGGTGGAGCGGCGGTGGTTGTTGGTCGGGGGCACCCGCGTGCCTCCACGAATTCTCGACGTAGCTAGTCCAGGCCGACGTGTCCAGCGCCGGGGAAGGGAACCGCGTCGACGCGACCGTGCTCGTCGTCGCGAAGACAAACGATCGACGAGGGACATGCAAACGCGCCGGCATCGAGGGATACCATCGCGGAACAATAAGAAGTATATCGTAGGACGCGTGCTAATGCGTTTCTCGTGTTAACCGTGGGACCGTGCGACCGCGGGCTCCTCTGTCCCCTTGGTCGACGCGGCTCCTCTTTCCGTTACCGCGTGTCTCCACCAATATTTGGAAATCCATGCTCCGCGTCCACGCTCGGAAAACCCGTTTCGCGGTCACCACGATCGATAGAAGCCTCCTTGAAAACGAACGGCAGGGTCGGGCACCGGCCAACGCAGCTTTCGCGAGGGTGTGGCCTCGATGGATTGCTCCGACCAGCCGCTACTTCCTGAAATCCTATTCTTTGCGCGATTTTTCACAGCCTCGATCGTTACCAATCCTTATACGCCTCTGCCCACCGATGCCAGAACCCCGTGACCCGGAACGATCTTCCGTAATCCACCAGGTGAAACTAATTTCCGTGGTTTCTCATCTCTGGAGTATCATTCAAATTCGTTGGTTGCGCTGAACATCCCTGTTTTGCAATTTTCTTTCCTTGGTCCTTGGTAGGTTTCTCCAGAGACTATTCCTAGATTGTCCACTTTGCAATTACATTCGAGGCCAATATCAGTCTTTTCGATCGTTATTTAAAGAACGTGTCGAGCCCCATCGAATCGTCAACGGTAAAGAATGCCGAGGGATCGAATGAATAGTCGTCGACAGTGGGTTCTCACGGATATAATTTAATCCATTACGTCTCGAGAAGGAGCGATTATACGCGTATCGAAGGTATCGTGCTTTACGAAGGAGATATTTCGCTTGATCGGCGCGTATAAAGGACCATTCCGCCGAATTTCCACGTCGTCGAGCGAACAATGTGGAATCCTCGCGGAAAGATTAATATAGAAGTACTCGTTCGAAGGGACAGCTGATACTTCCGGCAGCGAGGATACCCCCCTGTCCGCCTCCCTTACCCCTCCCGTTGGTCCCTGATTCGGATTTTTTTTTCTTTTTTCCGTCTCTGGCAAAGCTTCGCGCCGGGATGACTGGAGGAGTTCCACCTCTCTGCAAACAGGCAGCCCCGGCCGGAGACTTCACGGCGGATACGAGAGGAAGACCGGCCTGGTCTTCGAACCAACATGTACACAAATACTCTCGTGTCGCATGCCAATCAAACCACGTATGCGTCCGGCGTACGAAAGCCGGACGAGGAGAGCGAAAAAGAGAGACGACGTCTGCGTGCTGGTTTCGCGGTGCGCGCTGAACCCAGGGCCCTTTCTGGTGATTCGTTACACGCCGGCCCAAGGTGAAAGCACCACTCTTACGGGATTACACTTTGATATCCACGAAGCAGGGGAGATGTTACAAAAACGAAATAATCGCGCCGCGCCGTCCCGTATCTCCGATATTGCGTTGTACGGTCCTCCAATTAAAGGCATTCGTATCAAAAATAAATTTACGCTCGGTTCCTCTTCTTCTTTTCTTCCCTCGCGTTTCTCTCTCTCGCTCTTTTTTTTCTTTTTTTCTTTTTTTTCTTTTCCTCGTTCCTTTCCTTTCCGCCGTCCACGGCCGCCATAAATCTTGAACGCGCCTCCGACCGGAGACGAGGGAGAACGATAGACCGTCGTCGCCGGATAGCCCGTTTCATTAGGCGTTTTTCGACGGCTTACGAAACGCGCGAGATCTATCGAGCCTTCGAACGCTTCTTTTCCCGCCCGGTTGCGCAACGCGACCGACGCGCAACAATGGCGGCGCGGCTGGTCGCTTTGACGCAACAGCCACGCGTAAATTAACGGCGTCGACGGCCGTCGGGGCCATTTAGAGAATTAATCGCCTCTTTCTCGCCTAGCCACGGCGGTCCAATTCGACGGAGATCGTTTTCGTTCCCTCGGGGATTACACACGTGTAGACCTAGACGTTATGCTTTTTATGGGTTTTTATATCGGAGCATGGTTTTCTTCAATTACATTTGTATTTGACGTGGCTGGGCTCTAGAAGGATAGCTGTAAATGTTCAGTAGGCGAGGCAAATTCACTTCCAACGCAAGGAGGAGCAATCTACTCCTCCGCATCGAACGCGTTGAGCATGATTTATAATACTGATTTATTAAAAACTGTGCATCTTGCGTCCAGCAGTCAGCCTCGCGTGCTTCCACCTAGTTTCTAATTTCGTTCGTAATTGTACTGTTAATTTAAGGCCTTTTGTACTCCAAGAATTCATCTTAATAGAAGCAACTGACCATTCGAATTTAATTTTGCAACGCCATTTTAAAGGATATTACAATTGTCCTTTTTCTTCTATTACAATTGTCCACAATTTCTTTATTTTGTTCATTTGTATTACTATACGTAAATCTTAAATGGATGAGTGCAAAGAGTTAAGAGCCATCGTCGAGGTTAATAACAGTTCCGTCCAGAAAATGTTAGCCAATGTTGCGGACGTTTCCCATCGTGTAAATTATCCGCGACGTCGTCGAATGGCTGGTAGTGCGTTAATTTCGGCGGAGGATCGAGCGTCGAAGTGGATCCGCCAATATTTTTCTCGCCGACTGGAATCGCGCGTGGGATCGTCCGCTCGGGGGCTCCTCGAGAGCATCGGACAGCTTTCGTAAACACTCCAGGAGCGTCGTTTCGAGCGCGTACGACGCCGGATATGGCAAACAGAAAAAGACAGCGCGACCAAGAGGAGGGGTAGAGAAAAGAAAAAATAAAAAAAACGAAATAAGGAAGACTTCTTCTTACCTGTATCGGGATCCACGGCGAAGCTGCTGTTGGCCTGGACCACCGCGTACCTGAGGAGAGCATTCTTCCCGAGATCGGGATCGGAGGCGCTCACGGATCCGATCAGCGTGCCCGAGGGCAGGTTCTCCAGCAACTCGAACCCGTAGAAGTCCTTCTCGAACCGCGGGTCGTTGTCGTTGTCGTCCAGCACCGTCACCAGGACCGAGGCGCTCGCCGTGGCGGCCGGCGAGCCGTTGTCGGTCGCGAGAACCGTCAGGGCGTGACGATCGAGGGTCTCGCGATCGAGAATCTGCGCCAGATAGATCCAACCCGTGTTCGGGCTGATCCGGAATGCGGAGGATCCTTGAAGACGGTAACTCAACCTCGCGTTATTGCCCGTATCAAGGTCCACCGCGGTCACTTGAAGGATCTGTCCGACAGAAACAAGCTGTTTTACGAGCGTGTTTTTCGGCCCGACGACTCGCCGGAAAAACGAGTACGACAATTACACGGATACTTTCGACGGGGACCGCGGCCGGGGGCGGAGGGGAAATCTGAATTTCAGCGGCGTATACGTTTCTCGTGTGGACCGTAAACGACGAAAAAATAAAATAAATAACCTGGATAGGGAGATCGATGAAAAAGACGCCGGCGGATCGAGGGAGACCGAAACAGCCGGCGAGACCAGTCGATCCGGTCGTTCCGTATTAATTAAACGTACATAAAGACAGCGAATCCTAAATACGCTCCAACGAGCCTCCTGGGGTGCAAACTACCCTCCAACTTGTGGATCTATAATAATTCTTAGCTACGATCTTGAGGAAAGGGGTCAGTCCAAGAAGTCGTAGAGCATCGATTTTTATTTTGCTGATTGAGATCAATATCTTGGAAACTTATAGCTATGTATCGATGATGTGCTGACTGGAAAGGTGTGCTCTTCCATATACATCAGCGCTACAAGAATTACTGCAGTAGCTTGAAAGGATAAGTTGCATTGAAGAATTCCTAATAAACAGCTCCAGTTGTTACATTTCGAATAGAGTTTCTCGAAAGAAAGAAACGTCGGGGTAAAATAAAGCAAATAGCCCAGGATAGGGAGATCGATGAAAAAGAGGGCGTCGAACGTAGCGTGAGAGAGAGAGAGAGAGAGAGAGAGAGAGAGAGAATCGAGGGGACAAGACCAGTCGATCCGGTCGTTCCGTATTAATTAAACGCACCCAAAGACCCGCGAATCCTAAACGCATTCGAACCGGTCGATGTTTTCCAGCGCGGGAGGATCGTGAATTACGGAGGTCGAAGAAGAAGAAGAAGGAGGCAGCGTAGGATCGAGGGTATATAACTTCGTATCTCGTGCACGAAGCTGGCGCGCGGGCAATGATGGATGGCGAGCCAAGGGAGAGAAAGCGATCGTCGTACGAGTGGCCAAGGGTGGAACGAGGATGGCGGACGATCGGTGGTCGTCAGCCTGGAGGAAGGAGGACGACGAAAAAGGGTGGGGGTTAGATCGGTGCACCATTAGAAGGAGAACCTGACGTGGGAGCAGGCTGTAATGTGTCTAACTGTACGTTATTAGTTCGCGGCGGGTGAAGGGTTACGCTCACTGTAGCCAGGTTACTCTTGCTAGCTGCTACTTCCATTCCCCTCTCGGATCACGGGAGATTCTTTCTCTCCTTGTCCCTCTGCCACCGCCGCTGCTAAGATATTGTCCGGATACCACCGACAGCTCGCAGATCTGTTTCGCCGATAGATACCACCGATATATACGTGTATACCGGGGAGAAAGATGGAACGAAAGATCGAGTGGCGAAGTAAGAAAGAAAGAGGCATCGTGGAACGTGCGGTTCTCGTCGTCGTCCGGCTCTATCGTACCCTCGTGTATCCGTTGTATTAAAAATGTGACGTCATTTAACGGGCCTATCTCGCTGCAACGATCTCGCGGCCATTCGTCATCGGTATCCTCCGTATTCGGGATTACGTCCACCCGGTGGCTACCACCGCGAGGAATCGTTGTTCGTCGCTCGTTCCACCGGCTAGATAGCGGCCCCCGTCCGGATGACGAACGTGTTCTCGGACGCGTCGCGGCTAATGACTCTCTTCCGACCCCTTTCAATTTCCTCCGTCGGTGTTTGGCAAGATGCAATTAGATCGACCATCGACGATCTCGAATTTTCGAACACAAAAAATCCTATTTCGGTCGCGAACTAGTTGATCCAACGGGCCAACAGATTATTCAAATTCGCCGAAGTAATAATTATTTTTTAAGTTAATTACAATGAACCGTCGAGCTGATTGATCAATTGGTCAAAACGGCAATCGATTAATGCCCGTCCCTCGTGTCTTCTCGTGGCGAGATCGTATCTCCGATCTACCGAATAATTAGACACCGACCCGTCGATTGGAAACGTACGACTGGTCATCGATGTGAAATATGAAGTCAGCGAAATAACGACATTATCGGTTCGAAAAGAAGTTTTTAAAAGCTTTCGAACAACTCCAGCGCCGTTGTGGATGCTGTTGGATACGAGGCACGTAGTTGGAACAATTCTATTTTTCGCGTTTAAAATCGAAGTCTTGTACGTGGACGAAGCGATCGATTAGACGTACAGTGACCCGTGGAGGGATCCGCTTAGCTGATTGTTCGATGGCGTAACAGGCAGGCAGGAGATTTCGCGATGCCGCGTAAAGCCTTCTTCGTTCCGCGTCTCGGGCGTAATTGTGTTTAGCCACGATAAATAACCTCTCGAACGGACTAACCAGCGAAGCCTCCTCATAAAACGAGCAGCTGCGCGCCGCGCTTTCTGTTGAGCCTATCAACGATTACCTATCAATCCCGCGTGTATCCCGTCTACGTACCGGCTCTCCGATACGCGTATACATGTATATCGCGTTACAACACACCGCGTTCCTATATCAAACTATCAGTTATACTCTATCAATCCTTCCACCGAACTGGTCTGTCTGGTAACCACGCAATCCGCATCGACTAATCTCTCGCGCGCTCCACCGCCGTACGGCTAATTCGTTTCTGTTCTCCGCTGACAAGGTGAACTCGATGAGTCAACGTCTTCTTCTGCCTCCGCGCGGCACCGCCGCGGCGCGTCTAATCGAACCTGAACGAAAAAGGGCGCTACGAGGGGGCCCAGAGAATGGTAGCGCTCGATACGAGAGGGAGCAAAGGTTCATCGAGGATAGTCTTCCTGGTTGTCCGGCCGGATGAAATTACGCATCGCGAAGACGACTTTGAGGAACAAAAAGGATCGAAACACGCGGCCGGAGAAAGGCAGGGAACACCGTAGGAAGGTTGTTAACTCTCCTCCCTGTCCACCGGCCGTCCTCGTCTCGGTCCAGAATTTTCGCTAGCCCCGTCCTCGTCTCGCCGGGCGTTTGCACGCTCACGCAACACCCCCGCCACGCCGCGTTCCGCGAAAGGGAATCCTACCGCCACGTCTCCTCGGCAAACAAATGCCCGCGTGACGGGCGTGTAATGAAGATTTTTCTCACTTGGGAATCGAGCTTGGCGCCTTCGGGAACCTCCACGTGATACTCGTTCCTCTCGAACACTGGGGGGTTGTCATTCACGTCCTGCACCTCGACGCTCAGGCTCAGGTTCGCGGATAGCCCGGCACCGTCCAGCGCCCTTATCAGGAGCCCGTGCCTCTGCTGGGTCTCGTAATCCAATCTTCTCGCTAAATAGAGCTCGCCGGACCTGGCGTCTATGCCGAACAAGTCGTTGCTGTTTTGACCAAGGACGTACCGTATCGGCAACGACGGGGTCACGTCCGGATCCGTTGCGTGAGCCACGTACAACGCCGTGTGAAGGGGATGCGACTCCGGCACGGATATCCGGACGCTAGTCGTCGGGAACGTCGGCGCGTTGTCGTTCACGTCCTCCACGTTCAACTCCACCTGCGATAAAAATTGTTATTTAACGCTGAACATACCGACACTCCATGGTACAACCATTCCTACCACGATCGGTCAAATTACTTTATCTCTTTTACGGGGTGACGTACTGCATTTTAAATATCTGTACAAAAATATCCAATACTTTTGCTCTAGATGTGTTGCTTCATTAAAATTGCGATATCTCCGGAACGGAAAGTCGAATCGACAAAAACCAAAAACCATTTTAAAGAGGAGGCCTTGCCCCTACTAACAGTAGCTCGATTTTAAATAAAACACTACTAGCTTCCGAACTGCACGCGTCTAAATTTTAACTATTTTTAATACGCGTTGTTAGACTATTCTGAGACACTGGAAATTCTCCCCTTTCACCTTTGCTATACATGCATTTCCTATTCACTGAAGAATATAAATCGTTAACCAGTCGGATGACCGGTCGTGGTAGGCTTAGTGTTACTAAAGCAGTTTGTGCTATTTATTATTGCGTTTCCAGAGTAATAAATTGAACGCTTTACGTTATCAGTTCGATGAAATTAAAAAATTTCAGCGCAAGTATCTGGAGTCCCGGATGACAGAATGTTAATATCGTTAAACTAGAGTAACTTTGTTCCAAGGAGATTTTTCCCGTGCAATCATTAACAACGGAGAGATCTTCGGGTGTACCCATTTAAACGCCCCGCCCTATAATTAGCATCGGTCCCATCAGAACTTCAAACGCATCGTGGGATCGTGACACGCCATCATTTGCGCAACAATTTTGTAACAAAATCGAGAAGTTCGCGCGCGTATTAAACGGTTGATTACGAACTACTTAACGGAGAAACAACGGGTACGGGGGTCGACGTCGGGGTTTTTTGGGCGTTGATGTTTACCTGACAGTAGCCCACTGATACTCCGTTGCGCGCCAGGACGCTGAGAATGTACTTGTCTCGGGTCTCGCGATCCAACGGAAGGCGGATTCGAAGCATTCCCGTGTTGGAATCCATCGTTAGATCCGGTTCTTCCTTCGCCAAATAAAACCTCGTTGGCAGTTCACCTGCGAACACAGTTATTATGGTTATTAAACGGCTACAAAGTGGCTTTTTCCCCTGCCTTTCTTTTAAATATCGTTTCGCGAACGACCGTCGGAAGCTCGAATCTTTGATGAGAGAAGATAGGGGCCCCGCGATGGGCGATGCCCGAAGCCTCGTATTAATTTTTTTCCTCGACCTTACCGAACGAAGAGTTCATTCGTTCCTCGAACGGAACGTGCGCGAGAGGAACGAATAAAAGAAACAAAAAAAGAAAAAAAAATACGAACGAAAACGAAGCGGACGCGGAGGGGGAAGACCGAAAGCGCAAAAATGACGAAAAAACGCGCTGGACACTGTGTATATGGAGTCTGCTCGTTAATTACAACCTCGGGTTGTTCTCACGTGTGCATTTTGCTTCTTTAAATTCTTTCCTCCCCGCCGGTGTAAATTGCACGAAAATTTTCGTAATCACCCTACTCCGGGAACCGCGATCCGCTGCCTCGGGACGCGTGATCGATTGATTGAATCGAATGCGCGCGCGATCTCGCTAAGCACCGTACCGCGAAACGCATCGCACGCATACGGCGAGCGCATCATCCTTCAACGATCCTACCAATTACCGAGTACCCGGAGCGCACCGTCGAGAATTCGAAACGAGCGACCACTTTTGACTAATTTCCGCCAGAGTGACGGCAGACAGATAGACGTAGGCAATGACGGATGACCGATGGGGAAAGCTTAAACGAAAACGAACGCTCCTCGACACTGACCCCGGTCAACTTCTTCGAACCCGGGCTCCCCAGCCGGGTCTAATGTTCGAAATCGATTAATAGGCAAATCTTTCCGGTCGTTACGGGGCGTCGTCTTTTATTATTATTTAACGACATCGCCGTATGTAGGTTTTACATATTTATAGAAACTTGCAACAACGAGCTCGAAGATGTGTTTCATATTCGAATGCATCACTTTCGATCCGATAACAACTAGTTTCGAAGTAGGTTAAAGTTGAATTATGAATATCTACCCGGTTAAGAGTTATTGCTCGCTCGTGTGCGACACCTGATGCAATTAAACGTCGCCGATTACAAAACTGTCTTTCTGTCTGCCACCCAGCTTGCGGCCTCACGGTCGCGACACTTTGAAACCGTTTTGTCGTGATTTAATGCCGTGGAATCGCTCGTGAAAGCCAGTCATTTGCAAGAATAAATGTTCTAGGGGTATAACGCGTAATTACGGAGTGAATAAAAATAGTATACCGTAAAAAAAGAAGTGGAAATACATGGTCATAGCTAAAAATTTTGCAAGCAGACAGAATTGGGAGGGGTTTTCCAGCAGTAAGGATGACAGAACCGAAATAAAAACGATCCAAAGTGCAATCGCATGACGGACGACGACTCGTAGCGTGTTCCATGCATAACGAGTGCCGTTCCCCGTCCGCCCACGAGCGACACACCAAGAACCGTAGGGATGTTCCAACGGCGGCCGCGAAACCACGCGGAATCCCACGTGGTATTGTTCTTGCGTCAGACTTCTAGATCGTCTCCGGCTCTTGCACGCGCTATTCAACGCTACGGAGAACCGTTACCGCTTTGTCTTGCCGGTCGCCCCTCGAATATCTTCGTGACATTTACTCGAGAGCCCGATTGATCGATCCTTTGTTGCGTGGCGATCGTTAAGAGCCCGATTTTTCCTCGCCTCTATTCTCCGGCGACACCGTCCAACGTCAGATAATGAGCACGAGATCGTCAAAATACCACGCTGTATTTTGCTCAATGGGGTCATCGAGGCATTTTACTTTACGGTTCGGATCGTCGTGGAATCGCAATGGATCTTTTTTATGCGTAATGGATATTACTGTCCCATGGCAATAAATATCTATCCATCCCATTGAAGGGTTCGCTCAGAAAAAGCCACGGCCGTTTCTTGGGTTACGTTCCGTCTGGTACGTACACGCGTTTCATGCGGTACGTCTTTCCGCGGGAAGTCGGTCGATAATTGCTCCCCTCGATCGATCGCACTCTCGATCCAAAACGGGAGATAGCGCGTGTACCGTGGACTGCCGTACATCGTCCGTGGATGCGTTTCGACAAACGCCTCGCGATCTACCGCGTCGCGATCGTCCTCTCCCATGGAACCGATCGAGTTTTTCCGTCCGTGCGGTAGGAAAAACCTGATAGACGCGGACCAGGCACCGCCTCCGTGGGTTTACGTGGAAGGCAGGAGCTGCCATTTCCACGGTACCCGGTGACGTCGTCCACGTCGAAGCCCTCGGTTACCTCGCTGACATCGAACGACACCGGTCGTACCGACTGTGCCTTAAAGATGGTACATACTCGCGAGGGAACGTGAACGGCATAATTTACGGGTCGCTATTTATACCCACTCCACTTTATCTCCCCCTCGTTAAACCCCTCTACAAGAGGAATTCCCATTAGGAACGGTAAAACAATCTATTTTTTTTCTCCCCCCTCGTTGGGTTTTCTCAAAGTATGAATATTCTTTTGATGGATCGTGCTCGATATTTATGACTAACAATCGGGTCTACAGGTCGTAATAAACGTTTCTTTAAAAGCTGAGCGATAATAATACAGTTTGCCAATCTGGAATTCACGGTCGCTCGTAAATATTAAGAGCCTTCTATCGAAAGAATATTCGCCACTTTTGTTTTATTTTAAATGGCACACGGTGAGTCAAATCGTGTCAATTTAACCCCCTGAGTTTTCGAACTTATATTTAATTCTGTTTAAATTCTACAATACTTTTTGAATAAAAAATGTATCGATCACGAGCGAGTAGCCTCATGATTGTGAAACTTGACATTAAGAATTTGTACACCAAGGGGTTAATTTCTGACAGTACCTGTCAATTTTCTAACGACGTACAAACGATTATCGAAGTCTGTCTCGCAGGCCTCCAGCGATTTATAAGGCCCAGTTTGAGAATTAGATTACCGCGTGTTGCGGAGGACGGAGAGCTGGAGAATCGCGTGTACCGTTTGGTGCCCACCGGTCCCCCCTGAGCCCTAATAAGCATATTTAAAGGGCCCGGCTCCGGGACAGATGAAATTAATACGAGACTCGTAGTCGGTACGGTCCTCGAGTATGTAACGTTTCTTCTGTACGCGGGTTTAAACGACGCACGCACGCGTTACGCTTGTAAGCGCGCGAGTATTCGCCTTCTGTGCTACCACGGGGCCCGGCGTCGATCCTGCGAGCGCGTACGTGCAGAACGCACACGAACGAGCCCCTGAAACTTATGCTTACCAGTGCTCGATAGCCGTGTTATTAAAATTGTTGCAATCTCGTACGCGCGCGAGCGCGCCGGTAAACGTAGCGTACGTGCACGTCGGTTTCGAGGAACACCGCGAAGCGAATGTAAGAGGCATCGAACCGTCGAAGGGGCCTTCCAAACCATATCCTTTTAAAAAAATAAACTTTACGCGCCACGAAACATTCCATCGTATCCGTCGTTTCGTTGCATAGTATTTTAATGGCGTCTTTAAATATCAACAAGAGTCAATCTGCAAATTTTGCGATGCTATAATTTTTTAAAAATCGAGTTATCGTGTACCCCGGGCATGGAAATAAGTAAAAGAGTTTAAATGACGGGAATCAAAAAATTGAATTACACAGATTTCTGAGGGGCAGTTTGTAAACACGGCATAAACACATTCTGTGAGGATCGTAAGTAACCCAATGACAAAAATGATCGGGGAATGCAGTAACCCGGTGTAGTATTCCAGGGTTAATACGGCATATTACATTGCAATCGTTCGTGTGGTCAATAATTTATTCTCGATTTGTGTTATTTCTTCCTCGAATGGTCGGAGACGTCTCATTTCCGCGATTGACTCACTCCACTAGTTTCTAGTATCCACTCTACCTACTCTAGTATGTACTCTATACTTTGAAAACATTTATATCAAATTATTATTAGAAAATATAACATTTATTAGCCCTATGTTTGAAGAGGATCATCGGTTTGGTAATTAATTTAAAGAAAATGCAGAGATGTTAAGGTGGGAGCTTTCGGGGTGTTGGGTTTCGTGGGGCCCAACAAGATGTCCGCCTCCTGGGACTAATCGTAAAGCGTAATTGGCAAGCAGCGCCACGATAGAGGAGCGGATCGCGTTGGAAACACGTATCGCGTGGGTAGTAGTGTTGGTTCGAAAGGGGGATAGAGCGAGACGGAGGAACACGCACATCGACACGCTGTACCTACACCCATCGGCATTCGGTACCCGTGTTATTAAACGTCCGCGTTATCTTTTTCCATCGACTCTCGCCGCGAGAGGAGGGTCCACCCGATCCTGTACTACTCTCCGTATATAATTACGATTTACTTCGCATCCCAATACGGCAAAATCGTCCGCGTGTCCGTGGCGATTCCCGGCCTCGTACGGAGTTCTCGGACTGGAAACGAGATTGCCCCGGCCAGCGCGTATAATCGTCGCAGCGTTTTAAACGGCAATATAAACAAACGCGATCGCTCCCTTCGCGCCCATCTATTTATCGATAATCGTTAAGTTATAATCGGCCCTTGGACCGTGCTCGAGCGTCTCGTCGAACCCTTCCGGGGACACGAGTCTCTGCAAATAAACCGAGAAATTTTATCGCGATTTTACGCGGTTCCTGAAGTCACCACTCAATAATTCGAATTTGGTCCTTCGAAGTTCGAGCGAAGTGAAACTTCTTTGCGTCGGAATTTAACGTTTGGGTGAAAATTGAAGTTGTCCGCCCCCCGTCCGTTCATCGAGGGAATAAATTGCGATCCGCGGCGCAGTCGGTGAACGGGTTTTTCACCCGCGGTGCCGACTCGAGAGGGCTTCGTCACCCCGGTTACACAGGCGTCCCTCCGGGGTGCCTACGTGGGTGTAACGAAGACAAATCGCTCGCGTATTTGATTAATTCGCGGAGATCGCCGGTCCAGTCCGGTCCCTCGAAGCCCTCGTGGCCCACGTCTGGCCATCCTCCTCCTCCCGTTTTCCCTGCCCCCGCCTTTCCGTTCGCCATCCCGTCTCCGC